GTTATTTGACAAATCACTCCCCTTTCAAACTGTATTCTTGTTTATTAATAACAACTTTAGTTTACTGTCATATAGTATTTTATGCCTGTTTACTTTATTCTCTTATTTGTTTTATAACTATAATGATCATATAAAGATGTGCCTTTACCTCACTGGTTGTAGAAAAAGCTTCTTATATTCGTTAGCATAGCTACACTGTAAAAAAGGATTTGATCATTAAGTTATTTTAACTTTTGTCTGTAAGTTACTTCCACTTAATATATCAATTTATTCAATTTCTACTTAATTTCATAAATTGTAATTATTTCAACTCAGCTCTGTAAGCCAGTTCAATGACCTCTACATTCTATGAAGTCAATTTGACTTAACAGTGTGAGTTGTGATGTGTAATGTTCTGGAACTTTCTATGGCCTCTTAACATGGCAGTAGTGATGACATATTCCTGCCCGGTGAAAATAGTCGCGGTCTCATAGTTGTTTTCATTCATTGAAGGCATTTAACAGGGACATGAGTTTTTTTATTTTTTTTACGATATACAGCAAGTATATACCGAGTTCGATTAGCCATTATCAAAAGAAGAACTTCAACCGGACAGATTGATGACTACGAAAAGCTAAGCGGCGGATGAATATGTTTTTGTAAAGCGATGTGGTGACAGTGAGTGAACATGATTGAACATGAACATGAACAGCGTACCGGGTATACGCAGATCTTATCGGCTGATGAACCACTGATGGACAGGCAAAGTGAGGTGAGTGTTGCATGTTTAATGGTTTCAGGCAAAACGAAAAGTAGCTAAATGGAGTTAAATCAACACCTAACTGGTGTTTGAATGTTTATAAAGAGATTTTATTTCAGGGCAGAGTGTTGTGAAAATGTCAGTTTACCAAGCTAACATTACAGGATTATGATTATCTAAACTTTTATTAAATAAATACGTTTCAAGCATTCTTACTCTTATTTATGACGCTTGTGTTTTTTTTTAAAGGTTTGAATGGTAACTGCCTATGTTTGTAGTTTAATTTAGCGAGGTTTTGTTTGTTCGTTCCAGTAATTAGCCATGTCCCGGCTCTGTTCGGCTAAATATTGAAGCTAAATTAACATGTTTCGGTGAGGTGGTGTGTGTTAGTCATGTCTTGGCTCTCTGTTCGGTCAAATATTAAAGCTACATTTGCGCGTTTCTGGGAGTTTATATGTGTGTGTTCCTGCCAGTAATTAGCCGTGTCCCGGCTCGCTGTAGGCTACGGCTAAATATTGAAGCTAAATTAGCGCGTTTCGGAGAGGTTGTGTGTGTTCCTGCCAGTAATTAGCCGTGTCCCGGCTCGCTGTAGGCTACGGCTAAATATTGAAGCTAAATTAGCGCGTTTCGGAGAGGTTGTGTGTGTTCCTGCCAGTAATTAGCCGTGTCCCGGCTCGCTGTAGGCTACGGCTAAATATTGAAGCTAAATTAGCGCGTTTCGGAGAGGTTGTGTGTGTTCCTGCCAGTAATTAGCCGTGTCCCGGCTCTCTGTTAAGCTAACAATTGTAGCTTGTTAGCCCCTGCTATGTTCTAGTAGCTGGGCTACGGCTTTGAAATGGAAGTCATTTGTGGATAAGTATAGGAGACTTGAAGATTGTTTTTTGTTAAAGCCGAGCAAGTGTTAAAGTGATTCTATCCTTACAACGTTTTTCTGGTTCAGCTCACGCTAAACCTGCCCAGATATGGAGGGGGTGCCTCGCGCCGTTGAACGAGTAAAAATGCTAATTGTGTTCAGAAATAGCATTTATATTGTGTACGAATGCTATGTTCCACTCTTGAAATGGAGACACATTTGTATTTCTGCTTTTTAGAAAATATTTTATAGAAAATGTACCTAAATGTGTGTTCTCTATTACAGGTACAGATTTTCGAAGATTTCCGTTTTGCTGCAATTGGATGAAGTGGACTTGTAAGTTGTGCAGGTTTTCCAGTTACAATGAGAAGGCAATTGTTAAAACTTGGATACATACAGTCGTCTTAAAAAGTCGAAGAAGGGTGAGGTCAACTATTGTCCAGATCTCCCTGAAGGATTGAGTAGTGACGACATGGAAGAGAAGCGTCAACCAATGGAGATGGAAATGCCCAAAAAAGACCCTGATCACCAATTCATTGAGGCATTGATGACTGATACCTTTTCTCAGCTTCGGAGAGAGATCGTTGGAGATCAGCCACTGATCACAGAACTAAAGTCCAGATGGCCAGCTCTGTTCAGTGAGAGACAGGTAATCAGTCATACAATTGTAAATTCAAACTATAAAGCATCTTATTTCATATATGTTATCGGTCTTATTCAATCATGTGAAATTTGAAAACTTTAAATCAAGCATGTAGAGAGACAAAATTATCACGTTTATCAATATTATTGCAGATTCGAGTCAATTGTTAAAAAGCTATTCAAAAACACATCCTTTTGCATGTTAAAGACGGGTATATCATTTTGAATCAAGTTCTACGTTGCACTTAACATTTAAAACACGACTATACTTAAGATTGGGTTCTCTTGTCACCAGCATATGCCATGTTTTTATTGCAAGAAAATGCACAGTTGCACATGCATGCATCTTGGAGACTGTTGGTAGAATATGTTCTATATGTCTGTGTCTCCTCAGATTCAGGCAGAGTTCAAGAGAATTGTCACTATGGACCTGCTGTCATCGTTTCTGGATGGACTTGATGGCCTGGCCCCAACATTGCTGGAGGTCTACAAAGGTGCATCCAGGACGGGAAAGAAACCGGCACTAAAAGGCATTTTGGACTGCCTTGAGAAAGATGTAAGTGGAGATGCTGATGACCATAATTTAGCCACTATTTGTTTGCTACAAATGTTTATATCCCACTGCATTTGTTGTCCTGCAGAACACAAATGAGAGGAGGAGGACTGCTGCTCTCTTGGGACTATCACACTACTTGTCTGGCGAAAATCAGGCAAATGTCATCAGGATGTGTGATGTAAGATCATAATTGTCTTTAATTACATTACATTACATTGCATTTAGCTGACGCTTTTGTCCAAAGCGACTTACAATAAGTACATTCGACCAGGAAGACACAACCTTGAAGAAAACAGAATCATATAAGTATATCAGGTTTCATAGAGCCAAACATTTCAAGTGCTACTCAACTGGCTTTAGGTAATCCAGTCCTTTATTGGTATAAAAGTGCTTCGTTAATCGTTCTAACGCTCGAAGTGGAGTCGAAAGAGATGAGTTTTCAGTTTGCGCCGGAAGATGTGCAAGCTATCTGCCGTCCTGATGTCAATGGGGAGCTCATTCCACCATCTTGGAGCCAGGATAGCAAACCTAACATAAATTACTTTATGTAATTGTACATTTTAACATAAATCACCCTGTGCCCAAAGTTTCCTTCAAAAGTAATGTTTACAATTACCTTAATTTAACTAAAATAATTGCAATAAAGAATGATACATTTAAAGGGGACCTATCATGCAAAATGCACCTTTGGACGTCTTTTATACATGAATATGTGTCCCCGGTGTTCCAGGGAACTTACCAAGTGTCAGAAAACTCCTTCGCCAAATCTCTAAAAAAGGGGCTGAAACGGATCTGAAAAAAACGGATCCAGATTTCAACACTTTCCTACGTCACAAAGAGACGTGCTCCGCTTATTGGTCAACTCTCCACCTATCAGGGGAATGAGCCACGGCCACGTGCATTGCCAAACCTCTCATTCGCATATAGGCTATCGGCAGGCTAAATCAACTCCAGTCACATCTGTGTTTTTGTCTGCTCTTGCCAGGATGTCTAAGCGAGTTAAACTTTGTGCTGTTGTTGGCTGCAAGACTCGAGAAGGGGGACTGCATGCAATGCCATCAGTGGAAAAAGAAAATAATCTGTGGCTAGACTTCATTTTCAAGGGACATGTGCCAGAAGACCACGGCAGATTTCTGTTTGTGTGTTCCAAACATTTTACCACGGACATGTTTATGAACTTCTCTCAAGTCCAACACGGATATGCCTCCAAGCTAATGCTAAACCCGGGATCAATACCAACCATCCGGGAGCAGGCCAGTGAGGACACATCCAATTTTGAAGCTGTAAGTTTTTATTTAGCGGTGTTTTTCCTGATAAAGCTATCTCTAGCTTGTAGTATGTAGCATGTAGCTTCGCCGTATCAATGTCGCCTCAAACCCAAATAGTAATCGGTTAGGTGTTTATATGTTTTTATTTTATATTGTACGCTCCGCAGTCTTTGCTTTGTCTTTTATTTTAATTATCAGGCATTTGCTAACATGTTCAGACATACTGCCGTAATGGCGATCTGTGTGAAGGCTGTAAAGCCACGCCCTAGCCGATAACACAAGTATTTATTCTCCTATTTATTAGTATTTTGTATCCTCTAAAATCATATTGAGTAAGTTATAATAACAAACGTAATCTTCTGTAGGTAAGTGCCGTTTTTTCCAGCGTTATATGTAAAAGCTTTTGTGATTGTAGTCTCTAAGAACGATCAGATCTGTAAGCTAAGCTACGCTAATGAGACATGCCGTTTTTTCCAGCGTTATATGTAAAAGCTTTTGTATGTTTACTTGTTTACGCACATGAATATAAATGGGGATGTGTTAGGATACAACACTGTGTGTATGTATGTGAGGGGGGACACACACCATGAGTAAAACAGAACTAAAGCCCCGTTGGTCTGTTGTTGTTGACGAGGCCTTACCTAGCAACAGGCTAATTAGTGGCTAGCACTCATTACAGTCAGTCTACTGAGCTCAGCCCCTCTCCAACACATCATCTGTATTGAGTCAGAAACACAGCATGCACGTTACGGTTCAAAACTAACTCAGATTGGAAAAGGCTAAGCAAAGAGCTTTGCTAAATAGAGAGTTTTAGCCCCCATCTTTTGGGATTTCAGACGATATTTATCCAAATAGTATTTTCTCATCCTGAATACTAAATTGAGATGATTTTGTTTTCTTCTTTACAGGCCAGCACCTCACATGCTACCAGCAGATTACCTATGATGACAGATTCTGCATGTCAGACTGACCCACCCAAGTACCGTACTGTTCGTACACAGCTATCCTCGAGGACTCTTGGTTCACATCGAAGTACAGGTTAGAAGCACATTTTTCAAATGTTCTTTGGATACATCTTGACATTCTGATGTTGTAGCCTTTAATTTGTGTGCTTCTAATTGTTGTAAAATATTTTTGTTTTATCTTTTGTTTTGTTTTTAATGTCAAATACAATTATGTTACAGCTGTCCAGGCTAAAATTCCCTGCAGAAGCGTTGGTGTCGAAACACTTCCGTTGGAAGTGCCAGTGCCCTTTTTAACATCCACCCCCTTAAAGAGACCACCAAAGAGGCCCGTGTGGATCTTGAAGAGGAATACGAAGATCCATTTGAGGGAAGCTCTTCTTTGGTGTTTTCCGAAGGCCAGGATGCAACTTATGATCCAGCAGAATCCATAACAAATGCTACAGAAACAACAGCCATGTCGTAAGTTACTGAAATATCACTATGTGTGAGTTTGTCTATGTATTGTATTTTTTGCTGTATATAATTCAAACATTGATAATAGGGAAACACCAAAGATCTCTAAAGCAACAATCTGTGTGATGGATCTTAACTTCTATTTTTTTGTTTTAGTGGTCAAGAACAAAACCCCCCCCAGACGATCAACACATACATCGTGTATGAGACCTGCCTCATGGAGCTTTTTGAATCATGTCCTGTGTGCAAGCGTGTGTGTGATGTACAAACCAGAAGGATCGGTACATTCATATCAGTGCAGCAGCTGTGCCCCCATTGTCAGTTTACAAGAAACTGGAATAGCCAGCCTGTTCTTGGGAGTACTCCAGTTGGAAACCTGTAGCTATCAGTTGCAACATATGTCAACGGAGCATCTTTCTACAAACTTTCAAAGGTAAATTAACTGCAGAAGATTGTTTTGCCAATGTTTGAAAATGCAAATGTTGTTGTTGAATAAGATAGGACAAGGTAACAATAACAAGAGTGAGAAAAGGTGGGAATAGGGCACTGTTAGGTAACGACCCAGGCTAATATGTAAAGATCTTTTGGGAGGGTGGTGTGGAGAAAGAGAAGAGATGTGAAAGGGGCACTGTAGAGTAAGCACCCCTAATGACATGTTCAGCTCTTTCCCTGTTTAAAAAAAGGGCAGCTCATTTGCACTTTCCAGGTTCTCCTCATTGACACATCTACAGGTGATCTTTGAGATTAAAATGTATTCTTGCGGTTTTCTTTCAACCATTAGGTCTTCAAAGCAATGAATATGCAGCTATGCAAATACAACACCTTCCGAAGGCATGCCAGGATGTTCATTGAGCCAGCGATTGTTTCTTACTGGCAAAAATCACAGGAAGGCATGCTACAGAAGCTCCATGCAGAGGAGAAAGTGATAGTTGGTGGTGATATGAGGGCTGACTCCCCTGGTATGTATTTTTTATATAATTCACATTTTACATTTCAGAAAGGGGTTTCACTATGTGTGATTTGTTCAATTAATGGTTCCTGAAAAACATATGCTAAACACTACAAGCAAAAATACAAATTCATCATCCGCAGAGAAAAGTAATTACTGTAAAACATATTTTCACAGGCCACTCTGCAAAGTTCGGAAGCTACACTATGATGGACCTGAAGAACAACAACGTCGTTGACCTCCAGTTGGTTCAGGTAAGTGGGGTGAAATGAAATATCAATGTTTTTTTCTTTAACACTGTTTGCACGTTATATTTAAAATGTGTGTATCAATGGTTATTTGTATGTGTCATAACAGAGCAATGAGGTTGGTGGAAGCTACCACATGGAGTTAGAGGGCCTGAAAAGGAGTCTGGAGTTGTTAAAGGAACGTGGTGTGACTCTGGACTGTATTGTCACGGACAGACATCTGCAAATTCAGAAATTCCTAAGGGAAAGCAGCATCACCCAATTCTTTGATGTGTGGCACATAGAAAAAGGTATTTTTCTTTATATTAATTTCCATGTAAATAAATCGATTGTAAATACAATCATTATTTTATTTAGACACAAACCCGGCTTTCTACAATCACATTAGTATAATAATATTTTGAGTAAACTTGTATGTATATTAACTACATGTTAAATGTATTTATTAGGGATTTCTAAGCAACTGGAGAAGGCTGCAAAAAAGAAGGACTGCGAAAAACTTCGAGGGTGGGTGAAGAGTATAAGAAACCACATATACTGGACTGCAGCAACTTCCACCACCGGGCCTGAGAGAGTGGCCAAATGGACTTCCATCCTGAACCACGTGCAGGATATCCACTCTCATGATGACCCCCTGTTCCCCAAGTGCCTTCATCCACTGCGCATTGCGCAATACCAATGGATGGCTGCAGGTATGTTGTTCATAAACCATATTACATTACTCCTCTATAAATATTTGTAAGGGACAACTATTGAATACAGGATGTTGTCAGACACAATCTATAAAGCATGACAATTCAAATATGACTTTGATTTTCAAATTCTTAGGAACGCCGGCCTTTCACAAGCTGGAGACAATTCTCTCAACCAAGAGGATTTTGAAAGCTGTGGCCAAACTCAGCCCACACCACCAGACTTCATCTTTGGAGTCATTCCATGCCGTCATCCTGCGCTTTGCTCCAAAGAATGTTGTGTTTCCATTTCTTGGAATGTTGTGCAGGTAAAATAAACCATAGTTACTTACTAATTAGTGACAATTTGTACATCCTTTGCTATTATTTACATTTTTTTTTTACTCATGGCGGAAATGAAAGACTACCTGGCAGCCCTGCACTACAATGAAAACGCTGAGCGTGCACAAGCCACTACATCCACTGAAAAGCCTCTGTATAAACTGCAGTTCCCAAAGGCCAGGAAGGGAGAATGCAGAGCAAAACCAGTAAAGACTGACCCCACATTCTGTAAGTGTTTAAAATATTTATTATACAACTATTTACAAATATTAAATAAATAAATTAAAAAGAACTTTCAGTTTTGTACATGCATATACTAATCTAAACCACATTTTTTGTTGTGCTTTTTTTAACATTGCACAGGCTACGTGGCCAACTTGATGGACCTCATCTTCGACCAAGTCTTTGTGGACCCTGCACCATTCACACAGGAGCTTCTGAAGATACCCATCCCAGAGGACCTGTGTTCCCAATATGAGCGACCTGACAGGGAGGAGGTCATCTCCGGGTATGCTACTCGGTTCAATTTGGCTGCCGTCTGAACCCAACATAGATATTTCGCGGATCAGGAAACTCTCTGCGAATCCTGAGGACAACGCAGGCCGGAATCACCACTCTGATCCTGCGTCCAAGGAAGCCCCAGCACCAGCTCACAAAGCTTCTGTAGGCTAGATACCTGTGACGCCTGAAATCATTAAAAAATATATTTAGTGTCATTTATATATAATACAAGTACATTTAGTTTTTTTTTATGGGTTCAAAGAACCGTTCATTTTGACAATAAAGTTCAGAGTTGATATCAAATGTGTCGTGATTATTTATGTTTGGATGGGTAAAGAATATTCTGATTTCAAAAGCATAAGGTTGTGTGTGGACTTTTTTTGTCGTACACTTGGGTGTGTTATGCCATTGCTGTGTAATAATATATATATAATAGTACATGTACAATGAAAGATTGCATAAAGCCATATACACCAGTATTTATTTCCATGAACAATATTAGCATTCGTTTTACAATTTCAGTCAAAACAAACAAACCACTCACTGCTCTATTTGCCTCAACTGTAGTCCACCATGTTCAGCTCTGTAAATATCAAATGCATTCTGCAGGGAGAACACATTCAGGCACACAGGCTCCAATCCAGGATGGTCCACCATACAGTTAACAGAGTCTTCAAGTTCCTGCATCCGTCTTGACACCTAGTGTGATAAAGATATATTGAATGACATGTTAAAAATGTATTCTCTAAACAGACAACTTAGTGAAGCTATCAAAAATGTTACCTGTGGTATCTCCATGCAGCACACATTCTCCGGTTCAGAAGGCATCGTGGCGCAATTTGCACATGTACACCTGTAGAAAGAAGTCAATAACTGAGCTTTTAAAAACACATGAAACTACACACATTGCTGACAACTGAGGTGTTGTTGGAGTTATACTTTTTATCACCCTAAGTTATTGAACTTTCCAACGGTTGTTGCACGATGTTGGAAGAAAAGGACTGTAAACTATTAATAAACGCAATGAGGCCATTGTATATATGCTGAAAATATGAATGTCTCCCTTTATAAATATGTATTGCTGTTTTTGCGTTACAAACTATAAGTTACAAACTGTACACATTGCATTCTTGCTAATTAGCCAACATGAACGGAATAAGTAGCAAGCATCGTAACAGTAAAATAAATAGGGACAACAGCTTGTCAACTAACCATTCAGAAACGTCCTGCTGCAACCGAGATGTTTCCACCTCCACCAAAACCTCCGCTGCTTCAGGGTCAGTCTCTGGATCAAATTCATAATATGCTTGAACACATGCATTGCTCTGAGATGACATGTTTATTCCACACGTAATCACAGCAAGCATGGTAACGTGACTCTCGCCGGCGCATGCCCCGCTCTTCTGCAGGGGGGCGTGGTCAGCTGCTGCTCAGAATTTTCAAAGACAGGCTTGGAATAGAGCGAAAATGAGCGAAACGAGGCATGGCTAAAAAATGATCCGTTTGGTATTTTGAAAAATAAAATGTATAAATATACCTTATATAGGTATGGTCATACACTATATCATTTAAATATAGCATGATAGGTCTCCTTTAATATAAACAAAAACAGCAAGAAAATAAATGTTTAACTATTAAATAATATAAATAAATATATAACTCAAACTGTGAAAAGGGAGGCAATTGAAATGATGTTCCATCACATTGCACTTTAACACTGTGAACTGTAGATTTTATCTTCTATGTTTATAGCAGAGGCCTCTTAATTAGCTTTGTAGATAAAAAAGTACTTGTAATACACTGAGCTCACTTTTATTTCTCCTTTTTTAAGGCTCATGGAGACACTCTTGAGGAAGCCATGAAGGGGATGCAAGTTGGTCTACTGATAGGCTACGAAGGTGAACGGGATGCCTTTCCTCAGCAGATCTTCAACGTGGCAGTTGTGGTCGAGGAGACCATCGTGTTCCACAACCTGAAGGATGTGGCTTGCGGCTTTGCGATGCTTCTTGGACTGATTTATTGCTTGAATCTTCAGTATCCTCTGGAAATGAAGTTTTCCTTTGAGTTCCTCCAGAGGGTTGTCCTGAAGATACAGCCAGACCAAGCCTCTGCCAAAATACAAGGCCTAAAAAACAAACTAGCTAGGAGGTAGATCGTCAAACAGTGTACAGTTCAATTTGGTGTTCTTCATTTGTATGTTATTTTTGCCTCTACAGTGACATGTTTTTAAAAAATAAAAATGTTTTAGGTTAGTGAGAATTCCATTAATGTTTGAAATGTCACGAAGAAACTTGGATTTTAAGAGGACATTGTTGAAAGAGTCCTCTCCTGCTGATGTATAGAAAGAACTTAATGTTCAAAAAGCTCTTTGTTTCGTACCGTTTGCACTGCACCCTCTGTCCTATTAGTCAAATGAATATATTATACATATATTAGATTTTATAATGTGTATGTTTGTTGTGTGTGTGTGTGTATATATATATATACTTGAAAAATAAAAATATTTCAGTATCTGAAGTAACTTCAAGCCTTGATCTCCTTTTATATGCATGTGGGTGATGTTTAATGTTCTAAGTTCAGTCGGTAAGAAGTTTAAGGAAGCTGGGGAACTTGTCATTATAATAAGAGTTAGAAATAGAAAACACTAGTTTACTTAACATGAAAATGTAAGTTCAATTGCTTGAAAACATGAGTCAACATAACTTGAATTTGTCAGTCGGTATAAATATAGTTAAAGTTATCCTAACTTAGAGCTGTGAGTTAAGATAAGGTAGAAGCTAAAGTTGATTTGACTAGATAATGAACATTTCTTGAACCTATAATGTAAAAGTGTGAGTTTCTTTAACTCACAGTATTAAGTTATAACAATGAATGATCATTAGTAAAATAACTTGTACTACTTAACATTGTGAGTTGACTTAAAGTACATTTGTACTTTAAGTCAACTCATATATATGAGGCAGCCCTTGAACTTATGTTTATAAGTTAAAACACCCTATTTATTTTTTACAGTGTAGCTAACCAGATGCTAATAACAACAAAGTTATTGACTGTATGATCAGTGTGACAGATCGCCACTGGGCTTACAACTAAAGACAGACACGCAGAAACTGCGGCATGTGTACGGCTCCTTATCTGAAGTGCCGAGCCACGTTCTGGTGCTCTCCGTCAGAACTCCACCCTGTCAGACGAGACATAGACCACGTGATGACACGTTAGGCTCGTGTTGTGTTCAAGGACCCTGACCTTGGCCAGGAAAAACAGGCACTCACTTGTTTAATTATTTTGCGGTCTAGATTTCTTTAATTTTTTTCTTTTTTGCGTGTGTTTATAAATTACCTCGAGGGCCACACCAAATGATCTCGCGGGCCATATACGGCCCAGGGGCCGGAGGTTCCCCACCCCTGTTCTAGGGCAGCAGTTTTCAAAGTGTGAGGCGCGCCTCCCCTGGGGGGCGCCAGAGAACTTCAGGGGAGGAAAAAATAACAAGAAACAGTGAAATCTAGCAAGTTAACTTCAGATGACTTTATGTGACATGGATCGATTTTTTGTGAAGTTACCTAAAGTGAAAAAGGGGACAGAGTCTGGCAGAAAACGTCACTTGCACACTTTTGGCTGTCTGTGGAGACCGAGTTCCCCCACCTCGCCAAAAAGGCTGTAAAAGTGCTCATTCCCTTCACCTCCGCCTACCTGTGTGAGTTGACTTTGATCAAAAGCAAGTGCCGGTCAAGCAGGGGCGGATCTACCGGGGTGGCATGGGGTGGCAACTGCCACCCTAAAAATAGCCTTGCCACCCCAGCTGCCACCCCAGTTGGCAGCTTTGTTTTGAAGTAAAAGTTGTGGCTCATCTGACATTTATGAGAGAAAATCTCTAATGTCCGAGTGCAAGTGAATGCAGCACAAGACGCGAGCCTTGTGAGGGCGCGAGGGCGACTGTGGCTGCGAGGGAGTGCGGTCGTCTTTCAACCAGAAGGTTGTGGGTTCGATCCCAGCCCGTGCAGCCAACATGTCGATGTATCCTTGGGCAAGATACTTAACCCTGAGTTGCTCCCGATGGCATGGCCAACGGTGTGTGAATGTAAGGCAAGGCAAGGCAAGTTTATGTATATAGCACCTTTCAACACAAGGCAATTCAAAGTGCTTTACAAAAAACGAAAGACATTAAGAAAATGGCATTTCAAATCAGCCATTAAAAAGAAAAGAAAATAAACATTAAAAGAAAAAATACATGGGTAAAAGTTACAGTGCAGTTTAAGATGTGAATAGTTCAATTAAAAGCAGTGGCAAAAAGAAAAGTCTTTAGTCTGGATTTAAAAGTAGTCAGAGTTGCAGCGGACCTGCACTTTTCTGGGAGTTTGTTCCAGATATTTGGAGCATAATAACTGAACGCTGCTTTTCCATGTTTAGTTCTGACTCTGGGGATAGAAAGCTGACCAGTCCCTGAAGACCTGAGAGATCTGGATGGTTCATAATTTAGCAGGAGGTCAGAAATGTATTTTGGGCCTAAACCATTCAGTGCTTTATAAACCAGCAGCAGTATTTTGAAATCTATTCTTTGACCCACAGGAAGCCAGTGTAAAGACTTCAGAACAGGAGTGATGTGATCCACTTTCTTAGTGTTAGTGAGGACTCGAGCAGCAGCGTTCTGAATCAGCTGCAGCTTTCTAATAGATTTTTTAGTGAGACCTGCAAAGACACCATTACAGTAGTCCAGTCTACTCTTGAAGCTAAAAGCATGGACAAGTTTTTCCAAATCCTGCTGTGACATTAGTCTTTTAATCTATTATATTCTTTAGGTGATAGTAGGCTGATTTAGTAACTGTTTTAATGTGACTGTTGAAACTCAGGTCAGAGTCCATGACTACACCTAGATTTCTGGCTTTATCTGTTGTTTTGAACATTGCAGGCTGAAGCTCAGCGCTAACTTTTATACGTTCTGCCTTGGCTCCAAAGACCATTACCTCAGTTTTGTCTTTGTTTAATTGGAGAAAGTTCTGACACATCCAGTCATTGATTTGTTCAATGCACTTACTCAGTGTTTGAATTGGAGCATATTCTCCTGGTGAAATGGTAATGTAAATGTGTGTGTCATCCGCATAGCTATGGTAACTTATTTTGTTGTTTTTCATTATCTGAGCCAGTGGTAGCATGTAGATGTTAAAGAGAAGAGGCCCCAAGATGGAGCCTTGAGGTACCCCACATGTCATATTTGTCAACTCAGATGTGTATTTACCTATAGAAACAAAGTTGTTTCTGTCCTTTAAGTAGGATTCAAACCAATTTAGAACTGTTTCCGAAAGTCCCACCCAGTTTTCTAGTCGGTCGAGTAATATGTTGTGGTCAACAGTGTCAAACGCAGCACTGAGATCTAATAATACTAACACTGAAGTTCTGCCACTGTCTGTGTTTAAGTGGATGTCATTGAAGACCTTACAAGAGCAGTGTCAGTGCTGTGGTTTGGACAAAAGCCTGACTGGAACACATCGAAACAACTATTTAAATTCAAGAAATTACTCAACTGTTGAAAAACAATTTTTTCAATGATTTTACCTAGAAATGGCAGGTTTGATATGGGCCTGTAATTGTTTATTACTGAAGAATCTAGATTATTCTTTTTTAAGAGCGGTTTAATGACTGCAGTTTTCAGGGCCTGTGGAAAAATACCTGTTGTTGTACATGTTAGGTCCTAGAGCAAGTGGTACAGCTCTGTATGAATGGGTGTGAATGGGTGAATGACATGTAGTATGTAAAGCGCTTTGAGGGGTCGTAAAGACTGGATAAAGCGCTATATAAGTACAGTCCATTTACCATTTACCTTGTAACCCCTCCCCCCGCCCTGGTGTGAGCGAGAAAATGTGATTAGCGGCGATTTCATTTGAACGGGATGGCGCATTCGGACCCAAGTACACGGAAGGAATGAGGTATTTGCGGTTTACAATGACAGAGAAGAGACTGTGAAGTTTGGCTGTACTCAGCATTGAATCAAAACGCACTAAAGCTGTAGATCTTAATGCGTTTGTGAGGCGTTTTGCTGAACAAAATGGTAATCGTCGCATTCAGCTGTTATTGGCATGCCAACTTCATGCTCTGCTCAAGGATGACTCGATGAGCATAAAAAACTGTTAAGATGATGACCTTACGTGTGTAAATATTTTTTGGGTCTGCCCCCAAAAAACAGTTTTAAGTCCTGAGAAAGTCAAATAAGAAGTGTTTTTAAATGTTTCAGTCACCAGGTGATAGTGGGGGGTCGCCAGTCTCTGGCATTCTTATTTTGGGGGTCGCGGGCTGAAAAGTTTGGGAACCCCTGATCTATATGACGTCAAATTTACACTTTACATTTCACACTTTTTTTGTTGCTTTTTTCTAACTTACTTTTGGAAAATGACCTGATGTACTAATAAGCAAACAATAGATCTGGACATGAGAAGAAGGGAACTTATGGATGTGTTTTTTTTTAAACCCTTGATTTTAATACCCAACACAACTGAAAAGTATCATTTGAAGACTGGTGTCTAGGCGCAGTGACTTCCTACTTTGTAATTTTGTAAACCTCCCTCTCCCCTTTAAAGGGATCACAGAAGCTGTTGCTGGAAATAAAAATATGTTTTGAGTAATTTTGTGCTTTAGATCAGCTTTTAAAGGAAGTGATTCCGCTTGCTAATGCAGCATCGACCATAAGTCAGTCGCTGAAAAACTCCTGAATGCCATCTCTTTGAGAAAGCGTGACAAGATCACACTTAACGATTGGGTTGCCTTTTATTTATTCATCGCTTGCTTCTTGTTCAAACCAGACATATTAGATCTCCACAAGCTCCTGATCACAGATGAGATGTGAAACACAGGAAGAATGAGGAGAATAATATAAAATATAAAAGGAGTAGAAAGAGGGACAGCATGAAGGACAGAGAGGTGCAGGGCATCATGGGTTATCAGTTTCATACCCACTGGCTCAGTCTCCTACTTTGCTGTGTGTGTGTGTGTGTGTGTGTGTGTGTGTGTGTGTGTGTGTGTGTGTGTGTGTGTGTGTGTGTGTGTGTGTGTGTGTGTGTGTGTGTGTGTGTGTATGTGTGTGTGTGTGTGTGTGTGTGTGTGTGTGTGTGTGTGTGTGTGTGCGTGCGTGCGTGCGTGCGTGTGTGTGTGTGTGATAACAATGTATTGCTTACGATAGATTCTTAGAAAGGAGTCAACACATGATACAACCCGTGTTTGCACCCACAAAGGCTGAAGCTGGTATCTCAGACAATCACATGTTCACTATCAGACTCACACACCCCTAAACTAAAACGTGTATTCCCTAGAACAGGGGTTTTCAAAGTGTGGGAAGGTGAGCCTCCCCTCAGAGAACATAAGAACAGCCGTGCCCCCCCCCCTCCCAATTATTATTATTATTATTATTATTATTATTATTGTTGTTGTTGTTGCTATAATGCAGGGGTATTTTTATCCAGTGGAATGCCCTTACCTACTGGCCTATTCTTACACTTTGGGAACCCCTGATATAGATGATAAGATCAGAACAAACTAAAGGTGCTGTGACATTGATTATGTTACATAATTCACTGTTACCTCTGTGTATTGTGGATAAGGGGATAATATAAAATACAAATAAAAGAGTAAAATTAAGTTATTACATTTGTATTTGGTGAACCTTGACTGTAGTTTTTTTTAATTGTTTTTATAGAAATAGCACACATTTTAATACCACAGCGCCTTAAAAGTTCTACATCAGATGTATTATACAATAAGGTCCAAATCTACTTATCTGAGGAATAATTCTATTTCCAGATATCATTTTATATAGTTGTTTGTGAGATGTCAGTAAACCATCGGATCGAATCAGCTTTACACTGTTTCTCCGTGTTGAACAACAGAGAAATTCAATAGCCCGTCTGAAAACCAGAGAGCCTCACACTAATGTTCCCATAGTGATAAAGTGGAGACCAGACTCCTCTATACATGCTGCAGCAGTCATGTGTGTGCATGTTAGCCTGAGTGCTCGCACACAGTGAATGAAATAGCCAGAGGGAGCACTAAAATAAATTGAAATGAATTATAGAGAATTAATTAGGTCGCTTTTAAAATTGAACTCGGGTGCTCCTTGATTATGTGGCTTCCAGCTGAGCGGAGGCCCTCTGCGGCGCACGTCATCCCGCTACGCAGATTAGTTAACATGCCAAAGATAGACACATGATGAGGGGGGGTGACGGGAGAGGAGGAGAGGTAAGGAAACAAGGAAGGAAAGACACAGAGGGACATTCAGATAGCTAAAGGTTATTTTAAAGTGAATATTTGTATTCCGTTCCTCTACTGTGACACGTCTTCTTGCTTTAATGTTGAAAAAGCTCTTTATTGTTCTCATACTGCCTGTGCTGCAGCACCTCTGTTCACCCTCTGTCTGAAACCAGAGCCCAGTCTGCTCTGATTGGTTAGCTGCCAGCTCTGTTGTGATTGGTCAACCGCTTAGAGATGTCCCGCCCCTTAGCCTATCACGTACAATGTGTTGGTACGCTAGCCAATAGAAGCGCAAGTGTTACATAGAGAGGTCACTATGTAGCAGAAGTAAATAAAGGAGTCCAATGGAGGCTATTACACACATCCTTGAAAAAGTATCGTTTAACACCATCATCATCTAACCGCTCTGTCAGACCATTTGCTTTTTCTTTGGTGAAACCTATATTTTATGATTCATCACTAGGATAAACATGCAGTTCATAGAGATGTATTTTCTCAGTGTTGTGTCAGGCATCAGAATGAGAAACAAACTAATCATTAAGGTGCAAGACGTTCTGTCTGATACTGTCATCACTGGGACAGAAGGGAGAGCACTTATTATTTTCCAGTCACTAAGGACGGTGATTTGTTTCTGCATTTGTATTGCTGAATGTTGATTTAATTCAGGATCACATCATTTATCTAGTCAGTTTTCAAAGTAACAGAGCATTAATATCTTAAAAGGTCCCATGTCATGCTTTTCTGGTTATTACCCGTCCCCTTGTGTGTTATGTGGCTTTTTATGCATATAAACGGTCTGCAGAGTCACAACCCCTCAAAGTACACCCTGTAGCGAGTACAATTCTAACACAGAAAATACCTGTCTATGCTGCCCCAGAACGCCTCGTTGGAGATTTATCTTTTTCCATTGTTTTCTTCCTGGGTACAGTGACGTGCCCATACCCAAATGGACCCATTGGTCTAAATGGACCAATCCGTGGAGCTCCTCACACACACACACTCTCTCAGCGGCAAAACTGTGACGCGCTTACACTGTAGGTGCAGTTGATAAACAATTGTGTTCCTGACATTGATGAGGAAGTGTTTCTGTTTACATCTGGAGCAACACACTCCACAGTAAGGCCCCGGCCACACGAGGACGAAAACGGCTAAACGCATAGGATTAACGCAAACGCAATCGCAAAAAAGGTTCCGTCCACACGCAATATTCACCGGATAGTGTCTGTCCACACGAGACAGCTCCGTTTAGCTCCAACCGTGGGTTTTCTCCGGAAGTTTTTCCTTGTACGATGTGAGGGTCTAAGGACAGAGGGTGTCGTATTGTCATACTGATATTTTGTACAAACTGTAAAGTCCACTGAGACAAATGTAACATTTGTGATATTGGGCTATATAAATAAACATTGATTGATTGATTGAACCGCTGGAGAAGCTGCAGTACATATGCAGGAGCCTGTACGTGGCGCTGTAACTTCCTCCACAAAAGCAGCGAAGAAGCATGGTTGTCATGGTTGCCCTTCTGTTTATTCTCAGCGGTGGGGGCCGAGGGAACCGGGCAGAGTTTTTCGCCAGTCAACGTGTATTAAAGTTTAAATCTTCCGTACAAAATTATAAAAGTGCCGGTCAAAGGTCTTCTTTGTTATTTATTGAGCTTTAAAACAAATGAATAACGAATCTATATAATATAATAATAAAATACATGGAGCCTCTCTTTTTCCTCCCTCTCTTCGGACAGCGCCAGTGTCTGTCTCATGCAGCAGCTGATCCAGTAATGAGTGACCCGGCCGACAGTAAAAATAAACATATTTATAACTAGTTTAGGTAGTTTGAGAGGTGTCTCCGTCCTGTCAGATTAGACTTCACTCGCGTTTATGTCCATATCGAGAGAAAGATAAATAATCTGAATTCAGTGTGCAGTTTACTTTGACGCGGGGGTGAGCAGCAGAGGTGGGGAGGCGGGGCTATTGCCTCATCATTATCAGAAAATGATCGTATAGGGCGTACACACGGAGCCGTTTGACCCCCCAGAGCGTTGCGTATGCCGTTCTATCCACCTTGGGACCCGTTACCGTTTCCGCAGTCGTTTAGTGCCGTATTCGGTCGTCCTCGTGTGGCCGAACGGTCTATATGACACTAAACAGTAACGCAAACGACCGTTTTCGTCCTCGTGTGGCCGGGGCCTAAGGCTCTAAATAGGGGCTCACCTGTGTGTCATCAAACAGGATATGTTTAAGATACCTCTACTTACAATCTACCATGAGAGTGAGTGACAGATGGATAGAGAGGAGTGCAGATGAAAGGAACCAGACTGAGATGTTTACCATTGTTTATGTGTGTGTGTGTGTGTGTGTGTGTGTGTGTGTGTGTGTGTGTGTGTGTGTGTGTGTGTTAGTGTGCAGGTGTTTAAGGTACTTGTAGGAAGATACTGTGATGTTCAATAATGCATCAGGTGCCTCTGCAACACTTTTATTATAATGTGTGTGTGTGTGTGTGTGTGTGTGTGTGTGTGTCTCCACTCACCTGTGGGCGGATGACTCTCTCTATGTTCTTCAGGGCTGTGTCGGGGGAGGGGGGGGAGCAGTCTGGAGTGGGGCCTGTCGAGCAGTTGCCATGGTTACTGTGCTCCCCCTCACTCACAGTTACATGGGACAAGTGACCTTGGAGAGAGAGAGAGAAACAGAGAGTGAGGGACAGGTTGGCAGAGGAAGAGGAGATGTGTTTTATTTTTGTCATCACTTTATTGTGTATTATTTGCAGAGGTGGGAGAAGTACTCAGATCTAGTACTTAAGTCAGAATCAGAAGTACCAGAGTGTAGGAATTAACTCTGTTAAAAGTAAAAGTCCTGCATTCAAAATGTTATTCAAGTAAAAGTACAAAAGTATTGACTTTGTATACTGTAGGGTAGCTTGTGAATTTACTCCAGGTGTAACTAAAGTCTGACTTAAAGGTGGGGTAGGTATAGCAGAGGTGTGGACTCGAGTCACATGACTTGGACTCGAGTCAGACTCGAGTCACACATGTTATGACTTGAGACTCGACTTGACAACATCACAAAAGACTTGCGACTCGACTTGGACTTGAACACCAATGACTCGGGACTTGACTTGGACTTGAGCCTTCTGACTTGAGGTGACTTGCTACTTTAATTCAGAGGTCTCCGATCGCGAGCTGCCGCTAGAAGAGCAGACTCCCGTCGGGGAAAGCAGAATCTTCAGCCGCTCCTACTCTTGCTGTGAATCCTTGCAGGCAGGGGCGGGACTTTATTTAGCTGGGCCACCATGCGGCCAATCATATGCGAGGACACACTAGGATCATACCATTATGTGAAAGAAGGGTGGGGGGCACAGCATGTGTAGTGGTACAGGCCAGCTGCACAGAGCGACGGGGAGACGGGGAGCCGGATTTAAATGCAAGCGCGTCGGAAAAAGTCAAGAAATGAGCGAAAACCGAAAAAAGAAGCAGCATCTGGCTGCTTTTCAATGATATTGGAGAAAGCAAAGCTGAGTGCAGGATTTGTAAAATGAAAATAACCTTCAGAGCAGGTTTTTTTTTTGGTAACCACTCAGGATTTATTGTCAGAGGTGGGAGAAGTTCAGACAATTAAAAAAAGTTACAATCAGGGTTCCCGCGGGGTCTTAACAAGTCTTAAAAAGTCTTACATTTGATAATCAGAATTTAAGGCCTTAAAAAAGTCTTAAATATGATTCAGAAGGTCTTAAAAATTATCGGATTTGAAAGGTACTTCTATGTTGCGATAGCGTCTAAATGTGTTTTGGGGGAAATGTCCGGGCTGCAAAGTAACCAGTACGGTAATAGCCTTTCAGTTCCCCCCAACAATTTGTATTGAATTAAATCAACATGGAACCAGTAATCACTAACTTTGTTTCCCCCGGCCCCTTATTGGAGAACACCCAGCTAGTAACCTAGCAACCAAGCTTCAGCTCGTGTAGCCTATCTTCAAATCTACTTACAAATAAATATGGGGAAGTGTAAGTTCAACCGTATTTGGTTGGAAAACATCTAATTTAGTGCTTGGTTGAAACCAGTGGAGGGAACGTGTTTGAAGACCGCTGCATCTTTTGCAAAATAAATTAGTGTTTGTTTTGCTGATGTAGCGTTAGCTAGTGCAGCAGCAGCTAATGCAGCGTTAGCTAGTGCAGCAGCAGCTAGTGCAGCAGCTCCCGCAACAACACCGGGGGGCCCCCGGGCGACGTTTGGGTCTACGTCAACCCGAAAAGCGGAGGTGCTGTAGACGCTAAATACCGTAGCTAAACACCAATCATACAACAGCAACGATGAAATAGTGTAGCCAAGGCAGCAGAGCTCTGAATATAGCTCTTGTCACTCTCTCTCAGACACACACGCACACGCACACACACACACACACACACACACACACACACACACACACACACACACACACACACACACACACACACACACACACACACACACACACACACACACACACACACACACACACACACACACACACACACACACACACACACACGGGCTGCTCGATTTAGGCAATAATCAAGATTATGTTGGTCAATAATTAATATCACGATTATTAAATATGATTATTCATTGACTTTGAAAACATCCATTTATTGAACTTTAAAACAAATAATAATTTGAACAATATCTTTTTAACTGTTGATTACCCTGAACGTATAATTCAACTGAAAAACCAATAAAAAAATTAATTAAATAAATGATACATTACTAAAAAATTAATTAGATCAAATATGTTGTAGTGCACTGTCACAACCTAGCAAAGCAAAATAATCGTTTTTTCCGATTATGTTGTTTTCGTAATTGTGGCAGGCCAAAATCGTAATTGCGATTAAAATATGATTAATTGCACAGCCCTAACACACAGACGCACACACATACACACTTTTTGTCTAACACGCTAACACAGTTCTGTACTGTTACGCTGTTGTGTTCAGTCATTGTTCTTATGTTGAACATGAATACATTTACTTTGTAAGTGATTATGGGACGTATTTCTTCTTTATATACATTTTCCTTCATACTTTATTGCCGTGAAATAGGTCTTAAATTCTATTCAAAGTGGTCTTAAAAAGGTGTTAAAAAGTCTTACATTTGAGTTGGCGAAACCTGCAGGAACCCTGTACAATAAAAAGTCCTGCGTTCAAAATGTTACAAGTAAAAGTACAAAAGTATTAGCATCAAAATATACTTAAAGTACCACCTGCAGAGGGATCTAGATTCAGGTGTTCTTTTCCCCATAGAGACCGCCTTGCTCCACATTATCCCTTGCATAAAGATAGATTGTGGGTCCCTTATAACATGTAGTACACAGTGGAAATAAACATTCTGGTCACCTCAACATCAGGGATCTTATCCATTAAACTCCTTCTGAATCAAACCGTCACGTTAGCCTAACCTTACTGATCCCTCTTAAATTAGAAAAACACATGTTACTTTACCAGCAGAGAGAAAATGGATTATTAAATTATTAATGTGACTAATAAAGAGCAATTTGATTATTAAGTATTATTCTGTTGATCGATGTCATTACATTTGGTGAAAAACACATAATGACTTGTTTATGACTCGTTTTGTCAAAGTTTAGGACTTGACTTGACTTGAACTTGCCCATCCTGACTTGAGACTTGACTTGGACTTGCAAAACAATGACTTGGTCCCACCACTGAGGTATAGGGTTGCCAACTTCCAGAAATGGAGAAACGGGACACATGCATGTGTCCCCCGCGCACGAAGATTTTCGGGTTTCTGGCGGATTTAGTTACTTTTTTTTGTTACTTTATTTCTGTTTTAGGGTTAGGTTAGGTTAGGTTAGGGTTATGTTATTTAATTATGTTGGGGGAGCCAGCCCCTAGGGTTCGAAAATGTTTTTGGGAGTCAAACCCCCCAAAACCCTCAAAATGCATAGCAAACTATGCATACTACATCACATTGTACATCAGCATGTTCAAATCGGATAGGTGAGCACTAGGGACATCTGGGCACCTCAATGTACAATTGGCTATTTTGTCCAAAATGTTAAAAAATAAAATATTTGAAAAATGGTATTAAGTAATGCAAAGTATACATGATGTGAACATGCATGGTACATCATTACTAGACTTAATGTTATCCTTCAACCAACCATTTTCCCATCAATCAGCTGACTGACTATCACACACACACACACACACACACACACACACACACACACACACACACACACACACACACACACACACACACACACACACACACACACACACACACACACACACACACACACACACACACACACACACACACACACACACGAGCATTGTGCCTGCCCTGTCAACTGAGCGGTCCTAGCGCCCTTCGCATACAGCACACAAACACACAAACACGCAGCCAGACACACTGCATTGCGCGCAAACAGACAAATATTTTCGAGAAACCAGCTCCAGTGCGCTAGAATTTGAAAGTAAACAACCGAAAAAAATCTGCCCCTTCCTTCAGACTTCCTTACAGAGCCCCCCCTCCAACACACACGAACGCGCACATGACCAATGAGGGCACGAGATAAGTTTGTTCACGAAATGGAAGGCTGACAGGCAGGTAGGCCATCCAATCATCTGCCGCGGGCCGAGGCAGATGATTGGTCTTGCTTTTTACAGCGCAACGGCTTCCACAGATGAAATATTTCTATATATTTATTGTCAAAGCATTTAATTAATTAATTGCTATCGGGATGTTAAGAGCATTCCATGGAATATAACAAAAAGTGTTTCTGAAGTGAATTACCTACCCTACCTTTAAGTGTTGATTATATTTCACATCATTAATCCAAATCTGTAAAATGTAGTGGAGTAAAATAACTGCTTACTGCACATATTCTTATTTCATATTCTATATTCCTTAAACTCATTGCATTCCATTTCGCTGTAAATTACTGCTTTATTTTATTCAATCAATCAATCAATCAATGTTTATTTATATAGCCCAATATCACAAATGTTACATTTGTCTCAGTGGTCTTCAGTGTGTACAGAATATCAGTATGACAATACGACACCCTCTGTCCTTAGACCCTCACATCGTACAAGGAAAAACCCACAGTTTAAAGGGAAAAAATGGGAGAAACCCCAGGGAGAGCAACAGAGGAGGGATCCCTCTCCCAGGACGGACAGACGTGCAATAGATGCCGTGTGTAAATTGAAAAGATAATACATTTGCAACATAGGTAGTCCAAATGTTTGGAAATGCATGTGTGAAATGCATGTGTGTATTTTTATTGCTATTTAACTATATTTTATTACAGTGTCCTTAAAGATTTTTATATTTTATATGGAGATTTTTTTAATATATTTTATGTATGCACCATGACATCAAGTCAAATTCCTCGTATGTGTGAACCTACCTGGCAACAAACCCGTTTCTGATTCTATTTACCTCTGAATTGTAATGGGCATAGAAGTACGAAGTAGCAAAGTAAAAGTACATCAAAATTGCACTTAATTTGGTGATCATAGTCCTGCCATGACTCGGCAGACAGCAGTGGTTGAAGTATAGTAATGAGTCATTTCAAAATAAACATCTCACTGCTAAATTGTTGAAGCTGGGAAAGGCTGAGTAAATTTAAATAACTTTATATGCTTAAATAAAAAAATCATTAACTTG